ACATAAAGAACATCATCGAAAATGGTGGTCGAACTGTCGTTATGCCTGCGGCTGTATTTAGAGCATTGGATTTTCATAAGCTTATGCAACCACAAATCTCTGGTGTGAAGTCGAAGCTGTGACGCTGACTCTGTACAGTACGGCCTAGAATTCGTGTAATATGCCAATGTATGCGAAAGATTGATACTATTTGGCTAGTCGGCACTAGGTAAGATTGTAATACTGAATATCGTGTAGGCTATACTGAAGTCATTTCAGTCACGATAGGATGCCAGCTTTTTACCGAGCTCTTTTCTGACCGTTAACGAAATGTATGTACTGTAAAAAGTGGCTGCTTAAGTAGTGTGCATTTTTATCATTGATTTTGGCTGTATTGATAAATTCAAGTATATTTTATGGAAAAAATAAACGAAGAAATTATTTGTTGTACTCGTTTGATAGCACAGTACGCCTTTCTATAACAAGTAACCTCTTGAAAAAGCGCTTTAATAATGTATTTTGGCGTCGAATGTCTGTGTACTTTATTTTTTTGAAGATTCAGTTAAGTTCAGAATGGGAAATTTTGTCCAGTTTTTGATTTCTCGTAAAATTAGAAATATTTCTTGTCTTATAAATGAAGGAGCTAACTTTTTTATTTAAATCGGAGCAGTTTTCAGTATATTTGCTTACTTCTAGACTCAGTTCTAAGATAACAAAAGCACAGCAGAGTGGCAGAATATCACCGACGATTTTGAGAAAATTAATAATCTTCTGCCCGTTCCGTTTCAATTTTTTCTATAAATTTATTCTGCTTTATAGATAAAAATGTTCGGATATATTTTGCATACGGATTGACAGAGAAAATTGAACGTATGTCCTGGGTGTTTGAATATATGCTTGTTTAAGGTTCTTATTTTCGATGGGGTTAGACAAAGTACAGCCTCATAAGTTTGTTACTTAAATTTATGGCACACAACTTGGCAGATTCGAAAAATAGACTCTTTAGAACTTATTTTGCTAATCTTATACTAAAAATAATGCGCTATCTCTTATTAACACTAACACCAATTTAGTGCACGCAAAACACAATTGCCTTTTCTATGAACATATATAATTTAAAAGTTTCCACTTTTTATTAGTGTTCTTTTATAGTACAACACGAAAAGCCAAGTATTTTTTTTCCACAGCGTTTAATAGCTTAGGGAATTCCTTGGATATCAAAAACGTTGGATTTGGTCCCACTTGGCCCCGTGTTGCCCCCATAATACTGCGCTAAACCGAACTTTTTCCTAGTAAACAGTGTTTCTTACTTCAAGTTAACTCAATAAACAAAAAAACAACCCCAAATGTGTGTCAAATCTCACACTGAAATTTTGGTCTTCACATTTCATCAGATATACAATCAACTGTACATAGGTAGTTGACGTCGCATTATCTAGCAGCAGAAACATCGGTGAAACATATATATATATACATCGTTAACTCGTAATGTTTCATTGACTCACCTGTATGCGCTTAAAGCTAACCACGTTTTCGAACATTATCTGTACACCGAGTGGCATATTGAATGCCAGCGAGTACTGCAGTGGCATGAGAAACTTGTAGAGCGTGATGATGTGTTCACTAATCATTAGTTTCGGATCATCGGGATAGCTGAAGATCAGACCGATGAGAAGAAAGAGCATTGCCAATTTTGTGAGAAACATCATCTGAGCAGATTGTACTGCCTGCACAAACCGAAGGCGTAGAATGGAGTTGCACTCACGACTAGTGAAGGCGGGACGGGAGTAAAAGAACACGGTTAAGCGACGAGAAACAATTAACAGACACCAATAGCAACAAACAGATAAAACTGGAGGATAATGAACTCGCTGTGAAAAAATAGCCCTGGCTTTAAAACTTTCAGACGCTAAATATCGGTGGTCTCACTGTTAGAGCTATCCCGACTGCACCATTTTCCAAATGCATTTGATTGCAAATGGCTCTTTGTGGCATCAGATCGTTATGGTGGGTTTAGTGTATGAATCGCATGTTCACAGTAAAGAAACCTTTGGGATCAACCTTTTTTCTGAAATATCGCGTGTACTTTTCCATTATTCAAAAAATCCGATTTATGCTAAACATGTCGGTAAGTCTTTGCAGGTGTAGTACAGAGTGGATGGACCTTGACCCACCACATCTGATAACTATTTTTGGCTGAAGCAAAGAGTGAGCCACACAGAACATGTTGCATCGGCTTGGCGTTGACGTGCGTCTCCAAGAAAAAAACGAGATAGACTGAGTGGAATCGGTAAGTTGAACTCCATGTCTGCAACATCACGTTCTATAAGACCACATGACCGACCCCTGTCTTGTACCACTGTCTAGTTTTTTTTATGCTGCATATGGTGAATTCGCTGTTTTTTAGTAGGAAGGTCAAATACACTAAGCATGGGCAATTTGAGATAGGTTCGCCTTCTTCGTAAGTTTTAGGCACTACCCACCAGGTTGCCTATAAAGTACTTTTATATGTATGCAGAAGGCCGTGTCGTTCGAACTATTGTTCAAAAAGAACCTAATTCAACTGATTCTAATAGGTAGGTAGACTACCTTTACTGCCTCAATATTAAATATTAAAGATAATAAATACTTATCAGACTGCCTCTAAACTGCTTTCAGTAGTATGTTAAAAACCTTGGCGTTCAAATCATTGAGCGCTCCTGGAATGAGATGCAAGCAACGCCAGAGCAACTATTATCAGTTTACCGTGATCTGAGTACCGAAGGAGGCAACAGTAGCTTGTGAAGGCCCATTCATTAATCCTTACTCCCTGCCTGTTTTCCTACGAAAACGGTGTTTATAGGGTTGTATGGGTGAGAAATTAGGACACACAGTGGAATATACTTTAATAAATGCTAAATGCATTTGTATTTTACCGTATTTAGAAGTGTTGTTGATTTATATCTGTTGATTTTCCTAATCTGCATTATCGTTTAAAGTATTGGGAAAAAACCCAATTATCAAATTGCACGTTTCTTTAATTTTCCGAATAATTGAAATTATAGTTAGGAGGTCGTCTCCTTCAACTTACCTGAGGTCCAACTTACCGTTCTGGAGTTAGTATAGTCCGCAGCGCGAAGCGCCGCGAACACCTTCAATTTACATGCGGAACAACTTACTCCCAGCGGCCGCGGG